TTGACGTAATGCTCCATATCTCTCACTAGTTGGGGTTTGTTCTCACACTAGTGCGAGAGTCTTGTCCCTGTTAAAATGTTTAGTGAGTCCTCCACTGTGGTTTTCCTAAATAATGGACTCCCTCAACGAAAATCTAAGATTGCCCAACCTACTCTGGTAGAACAAGTATCCATCAACTTTGTGGTATTGCCCGATAGCCTTCTCCTGACACCTCTAAATTTTCCTAAAATTCTCATCTGTCTCATAAAGCTCTTTTATTACCACAAAGCCCACAACGCGTGTCTGCACCGGAATGATCTGCAAGTGACGGCGGGTCAAGCGCATCTAGTACACAAGTCTGACTTCCTACTTTGTGCTTAAGCACGTATAAATTGGAACGACGCCAAGAACTCAACCCAAGTTGCATGGTGGCCCTTCAATTTACTCTGATTGACAAAGAATTTCAAGGCATCGTGGTCTGAGAACAGCGTGAACTCACTTGTCCGCAAGTAATGGCTTCAATGCTCAAGAGTTCTCACAATAGAATAAAACTTCTTGTCGTACATCGAGTATTTTTTCATGGAATCATTCATCTTCTCACTGAAAAGGGCGATGGGGTGACCTCCACCTCCATTGCTCAACACTGCTACTATCCCATGCCAGATGCATCAGACTATACCTCGAGCATCCAGCTGAAGTCTAATAGTGCCAAGACTGACGCTTGGGACACCTTCTCCTTGAGTTCAGTATAACTATTTTAAGCTACCTTTTCCACTGTAATTTATCTCCCTTTAAAAGATCTGTCATAGGGGTAGGCTGATGGTACTAAAGCTCTTGATGAATCTCCTATAAAATGACACTAGTCCCAGAAACTGACTCAGCTCGATGAACAACTGGGATACAGTCCAGCGCACAATGGCCTCAATTTCAGTTGAATTCATCTGAATTTCTGCACTACACACAATATAACACAAAAAAGCATACATGGTCTATCATGAAGTGGCACTTCTTTATATGAGCATATAAGTTCTCTGCGTAGAATACCACGAGCACTGCCCTTAGAGGATGTAAATGTTCCTCCTTAGATCAGTTATACACCTAAATTTCAGCAACAGGGGAGGTTCCAAGTGGGTTGAGCAGCGGCTAGGAGATGCGCAAGAAGCTGGGCGGCAATTAGGAAGAGGACAAGAATGTTAGGCGTCAGTTGGGAAGAGGATCATGGAGCATGCTTGACGAAATAACCACCACCTCAAAACAGGATACAGCTAGAGCAACACCCATCATATGGAACAGAACAAGATTTTGTTGGAAAAAACTCAAAAGAGATTGCAAAAACAAAAATAGTAATTTGTTCAATTTATTAATTACACATTTTCAATAGAATTATTTTATGAACAATGATAATTTTGTCTTCACTGTACACTGCAATGCGATAGACTCTACAGGTGAATGCTAGGCATAAAAAACTCTATTATGATGGAAGCTTCTTCTGTTTACATGCTCTCTTGAGCCCCTCCACCAGACCCTCTTCTTCCAATCTTACAAGTGAATTTGGCCATCAGAGAATTTTGTGCAAAGATGTAGAGGCAACAAATGCACAATCCTGCTCAATAAATCATTGCATTTAGTAGCCACATAACCCCACAAAAAAGGGAGAAAAGTGTCAAAATAGTCCCCTGATTTTTTGCAGTGGGCCATTTTAATTCCAATCTATAAAAGTAACAATTTAATCCCCTAATTATTTTAATATGGGCTTAAATAGTCCCAACGGAGAACTATTTTGACCCCAATAGAAGAGCATGGGTATTAATTTGGCACTTTTATAGGCTTTGAAACTAAAATTGCTCCATGTAATTAGTCAGTCAGAGGACTCTTTGGCATTTTACTAGGGGACAAAGGAAATACTAACATGTTGTACTGCTCATGGCTCAAGAAAGGTAGAACAATGAGGACTTGTATGTTAATTTCTTACTCCCTACCCTTAAAATGTGTATTAAAGAACCGGAAAAAAGGATAAAAAGTGAGAAAAAGACATTTAGAGAAGAAATTTTACCAGCATAAGCAATTGTAGCGCCAGATGCCATTCGTCCTAAAACTGACTGTGCATAGAGAATGACAATCACCTGAAATTTTGATATTTGAAAATCATACAATGACATGGAACTTATTGCAGCGCATACTTTCAAATTAATCAGAAAGTAGATTCAACAAAATAGAAGGTTTACAAAATAATTAACCTTTTAATACATTATACGGCCCACATATTAAGTAATAAAACACTAGCTTATTTTCGGTACCGACGAGTTATTATTGTATTTCTCAAAAATTAATATTCAATCGCAACTGCTCTTTCTTTAACTAAATTCGATGTCACTTTTTCCGTCAAAGCAAAGACAAAAAAGTGCACCCCGTTACGTACTGCAATGATTTTATAAAGTGCTATTGAAGTCAAAGTGCTTTATATCCCTAAAACAATGATGGATATCAACATATAGTTTACGGATTTAGATTTTGGGAATTTAAAGTCCAAAACATGTTCAAAAAATGAAACAGAAAACCTGAATTTTGTTTACTTTCGTCCCTCTCTTACTTCGAATAGAAAATACAAAAATTAGTTTTCCACCATACAAAGACTACAAAAATAACAATATAGAGAAAGATACGATTTAAACCAATGGATTAAGTTGGAACACCTTTTCATCCAATCTTCAACCATGATTTGCAAACTATCGTCTAATAGAGAAGGATAATCTTCAACCATGAGTTGGAACACCTTTCCTTCGAATAGAAATACTTTCATACTAAACAACTCTTTTCCCCACCCTAAAAATAAAAAATTATGATACTTGGTGAGCTCCAAGCTTAACAAGGAAAATATTGTTAAAATAAGATTCAAACATACAAAAAAAATGAATATGTATGCTGATCGGAGACTAACATGATTTCGTTGATATTCACAATTGAATTGGTACACAACAATTATGAATAAATATACTTTCATACGACAATAATTAGAAGAGTACAATTACTAATAGAAGATGCAACACATATCCTAGTGGTTGATAACTTTGTCTTCAACAAAGAGGTCCCTTATCCTAGTGGTTGAGAGCTTTCTTTTTCAACCAAGAGATCCTAGGTTCAAAGACCGCTTATCCTAGTGCATCTTTATTCAAATCTTCTAATTTCGTCAAAAATACCATTTCACCACTGGCACATTTCATGATTGAAATTCATCCTAGAGTGAGATTGAAACATCTAAAGGCCCTGATAAACTTTTTTCACAGAGTTTTTATGGGCACTGGAAAACACCATGATATCATCAGCATAGAGTAGGTGGGAAATGGCTATATTAGATCTGTGATGATACCTAGAATAACTCTGGGTCAAGAAAGTTTCATCCAAAATTCTGGACAGGTAGTCTCTGGCTAGTATAAAAATTGTGGGGGATAGTGAATCCCCTTGCTTCAGACCTCTAGTAGCAGTGAAGGACCCTCTAGCTTGTCCATTGATAATAATGGAGTGCTCATTGTTGGCTAGCAATCTATCAATAAGATTACAAAAGTCAGGTTGGAAACCTCTAGAAGAGAGAATTTCCAGGACAAAATCTCAATTGATAGTATCATAAGTCTTTTTAATGTCCAATTTGTAAATCAAATTACCTCCCCTATAAGGCTTAGTCAGATCCAGTAGCAGTTCTTGTGCTAGCAAAGCATTGTCAGTAATGGACCTACCCTTGACAAAAACAGTCTGATTAGATTTGATCAGTTTATCCAGATGGGGTTGGAGTCTGTTAACAATTATTTTGGTAATGATTTTGCTTATCACAGTAGTAAGACAGATTGGCCTAAAATGATCTCAAGTTTTTTGAATGTCAGACTTAGGCACAAGAACAAAGTTAGAGGAACAGAAATAATAAGGGAGGTTTTGACTGGAAGAAGCTATCAATGGCAGCAATAACATCTGTTTTGATAATGTCACAGGATTTTTTGTAAAAATCTGCAGTGAAGCTATCAGGCCCTGCAGACTTAGAGCTATCAATAAAGTTTAAAGCCACCCAAATTTCCTTTTCAGTGGGGGAATCAGTGAGAATAAGATTTCTGGTATAGTGTAACTCCTCAGAGAAGTAGTTTCTGTCTATAGGAGGCCTGTTAGCTGGGGCTTGATTCAATAGGTTCTTATAGTAGGAAATAGCATCCCTGGCAATAGCAGAATTATCATTAAGCAAGGTTTTGACTGGAAGAAGCTATCAATGGCAACAATAACATCTGTTTTGATAATGTCCCAGGATTTTTTGTAAAAATCTGCAGTGAAGCCATCAGGCCCTGCAGACTTAGAGCTATCAATAGAGTTTAAAGCCACCGAAATTTCCTTTTCAGTGGGGGGAATCAGTGAGAATAAGATTTCTGGTATAGTGTAACTCCTCAGAGAAGTAGTGTTTGTCTATAGGAGGCCTGTTAGCTGGGGCTTGATTCAATAGGTTCTTATAGTAGGAAATAGCATCCCTGGCAATAGCAGAATTATCATTAAGCAAAATCCCCTCAGCATTCTGAATAGAGTGTATGGTGTTACATTTCCTTCTATATTTGATATAAGCATGGTAGAAATTGGTATTTCTATCGTCATCAGTAAAAATATTACTGGAGTCCTTTTGTTTCAGAAACTGCTTTTGATGCTCTATAGCTATAAGAAGACTATACTGTGTAGCTAGAAGTGTTTTTTCCTCCACAGTCCCATTCTGAATCCCCAGTTCAAGCCTTTCAACATCTTTTTCTGCAGTTGTCACAGTAGTAAGAACATTACCAAAAGCCTCCCAACTCCACTTCCTAAGAGCTTTGCCAACTCTCAGTTGCAATTGGTTGAGTTTGACCAGAGGTTCAGGGTGGAAGGCACCTTTCAAGTGGTTGTAGACAAAGTTAATAAGAGATGGGTGGGTGGACCACATGTTGAGATATCTGAAGGGTGGGCTGCTCTGAAGGAGGAGAAGAGGTTATGGTGATCAGTAAAGGCCTATGATCAGAGCCAGCAAGGCTGAGGTGGGTTACAAAAGTGAAGAGGAAATTGGAGAACCAAAGATCATTCACCAGAATTATGTCCAGTCTTTCTCAGAGGTGTCCCCTTTTCCAGGTAAATGCAGGTCCCTTGAAACTCAGGTCAAACAGCCCAGCATGATGGATATTATCACTGAAAGTGGCCATTTTAGAGAGGTTAGGAACCCTGCCCCCAGACTTTTCTGCAGAGGAAGTAATGCAATTGAAATCTCCCCCCACCAGCCAGGGGGAAGTCATCTGTTCATTGATCTTATGTAGACAAGCCCAAAGCTTCCTTCTATCATCCTTAGCACAACATGTATAAATAAAGGAGGCAAAACCCAGATGAGCATTAATCAAGAAAGAGAGATGAACAAATTGTTGATGATCCAGGATGTTCCAGATGAGTTCCTTTTTACAGAAAATCCAAATTTTGTTATTAGAATTAACAAAGCGAGAAAAACCAGAGAACTTCTAAATGAGCTTTTGAGGATGTTTATGAACCATAGGTTCAAAGATGGCAATACACCAAAGCTTGTATTTGTAATTGAGATATAAAATTATTTTAAGAGAAAGGGGATGAGCAACACCCCTAATGTTCCAGCATAGGAGATTAATCATTACGTAGGAGGGATTGGAGGGATGGTTGTGATCTAGATCTAGTTCTTCCTCTAGAGGGTTTAGGGGGAGAGCCAATCTTCACACTAGTTTTGCCTTCTACATCATTGGAGCTGACCCTTTTTGAAGTTTCTGCACTTCTGTCACCTTTTTCTTTTTCCTTGCTGTGTGAATTTGCCAGTCCTCTTCTAAGATTTTTTGCATATCAGCAGTATTGATATCTTCAGGAGTATCTGTAAGTTTATTAGTAGTGTGAGTGGGGCACACCACATCCTCACACTCAGGACTAGAAGATATTGGAATTACTATAATCACCTCATTAATTTCTTTCCTCACTATCATTCTTGGAGACTCGGCTATTGGGCGGTGGAAAAGGAAGGAGTGGCACTCAGACCTCCCAAAGGATCCCTAGTGGGAGCATTAGCAGAATTCATTGGGAGGGGGGGGGGGGGGGGGTGCTTGGGGGGTGGAGCCTATAAAATCTCTCCAATGTGTGGCCAAACATTTTACAATGCTGACAGTAATAAGGTTTTTGCTCAGAAATAATTTCTTGCCAGAAGTCTTCTGTCTCAGATCCTATCCAAACCCTTTTCACTTCTGGAAGGGAAATATCTCTTTCAATCTAGATTCTAGCAAGTGCTGGTCTTGCTTTATTATAAGTAGGGGTGTCAACCTTTAGAGGTGTACTTAAGACTCTACCAATCTTAAATAAAGCATTCAGGTTAAAGACGGGGAGAGGAAGGCCTGGCAATTTGTACCAAAGGGGTACCACAGGGGGTTCCTTGCTTGGGTCAAAGCTTAGGGTCCATTTTAAAATTTTCATAGAGGTTCCTGCAATCATAATAGATTGCTTGGCCAACATCCTAGCATAGTCTTCCACCACAGAGAGTTGGATTAGAAGATGTCTTCCATCAAGAAGCCCAATTTTCCAGGCCCCAACAAACTTAGGTGAGTCAAAGAAGTTTCTTACCAGTTCCATTTTGGGGTGACCCAACTGGAAATTGCCTACAAGAGTGAATTTAACTTCTTCATTGAGGGAGACAATGTCCATACTAGAAAAGAATATGGCAAGTTCCCCATCTTTTGTGCCCAGTGGATGAATGCAA